CTCCATCGCCCATCATGCTAGTGAAACGTTCTGAAACAACGTTGACGCTGATTGGATACATTCCCATTCCTACCCTTTGATATTCTTGTCAGCAATTGGACAGCTGGTCTCGTCCTGTTTGGGCGATTGAAAAAAAGCACACACAGCCTCCACCGCTCGGCAGAGATCGGCAGAGACCAATATAGATATATATATATGATTTATTTTTGTTACAAAACACACAATTAACTTAGAATATGTGATTATTGTTAATTTTATTTATTTATTTTTTAATAAAAATTAAAAACACGGAAAAACTGGGAGGGCGGCGCCCTATCGCCCTCTACTGGCCAGCCGCCACTGACAAAATCCCTACAATTAAAAGTTCCAATCTTCTGGTTAAAAAACCCAGCGGTCCGTAAGATTGATTCCATACTCGATATGGAATCTTAACGTCTCACGGTCCTTAATTAGATGTAAATTAACTTCTTTACACTGATTCTGATTCTGATCTGATTCTGACGTTTTAGAGCACTTCATGCTTCCTGCTGCTGACCAGCTTTATGGAGATGCAGATTTCATTTTCCAAAAGGACTTGACACTTGCACACAGTGCCAAAGCTACCAGTACCTGGTTTAAGGACCTGAGTTTCCCTGTTCTTGACTGGCCAGCAAACTCGTCTGACCTTTAACCCCATGGAAAATCTATGGAATCTATGGGGTATTGTGAAGAGGAAGATGCAATACATCAGACCCAACAATTCAGAAGAGCTGAAGGCCTATCAGAGCAACATGGCAAACCTGAGCAGTGCCACAGACCGATCGACTCCATGCCGCGCTGCATTGCTGCAGATATTCAGGCTAACAGAGCCCCAACATTGAGGGTTGTACATGCTCATACTTTTCATGTTCATACTTTTCATGTTCATACTTTTCAGTTGGCCAACATTTCTATAATTCCTCTTTTACCCATTTGTCATAACTGATGTTATAATATTCTGAGATCCTGAATATTGGATTTTCATTTGTTGTCAGGTATACCGCCAATCATCAAAATTAAAGAAATAAACATTTGAAATATGTCATGGAACTACTGAAATAAATCAACTTTATCATAATCTTCTAATTTTTTGACCAGCACCTGTAAGTGAGTCGGGGAGCAGGGAGGGTGTGGTGCTGTGAGGGATTGATAGTTGGGAGTGAAGTGATGGCTCCCCCAAGGGGTGCCTAGGGGGAAATTGCTGGCTGCCCCAGGAAAAACCAGTGTTAAAAAGTCCTATTAATGGTCACTCAAACCATAAATTGATCTTGTTTATTCAAAACATAATTGTAAAACAAAATAACAATAATACAATTAACGAGCAATCAGAATTTTAAAAATACATGTTTCTGCTGCTCACCATTTAAAAAGGTTTTCATTTTCAAAGTTTTTTGTGAACAGGTGATTTAAACAAAAATAAATACATTTTAAAATAAATTTGGAAATAACACTTTAAATAACTGAAATGTAGGTCTCTGAAATGTTAGTGTTTGTAAAATTTGAGTTCATTATTTTGGATACGTACTGTTTTTTTTTTCAAATAAAAACAAATAAAGTAGCAATGCAATACATTGCCACAGGCTAGACTCTCCTAGAGTTACCACAATGACCAATTTGGTGTGCCACCCCAAAAATGTCTTTGGCCCCGCATCTGACCACTCCTATCAAAATTTTCTGGAGGCGTCCCTGGAGTGAGCCTTGCCTGCCAGAATCCTCCTCTGTTTAATTCTGCACAGAGAAAGAGTCTGGGAACTCTCCTATTCAAATAACCCCACCCCCTGAGAATTCTAACCGAGCAAATCAGCGCTGAGTAGCGTACGTCACAAACCACAACGCCGAGTTTGTCATAAACATGGCGACTGAAGCGGAATTCGCTGCAGCTCTTTCCTCTATTCTAAATGACTTGGACATGTCTTTAAAACAACAAGTAGAAGCGCTAAAAGCCTTTCTTCTAAAGAAAGATGTTTGCGCTGTCGCAAGACGCCATTTTTGACTACAGCGTCACGCGGTACACTCGACATTTCCGTCTTTTTTCTGATTGATTATTTTTGAGCTGCCTTGTCCCACCCCTCAAGTGCCTTCCCACCTGTGAGTTACCAGACCCTTTCTCTGTGCAGAATTCAAATGAGGAAGAGTCTGGCAGGCCAGGCTAGGGGTGAAGGTGTGTTGTGAATTTAGGGTGTATGGGGAGAGGTGGTTGGGGGATGGTGGTGGTGCCTGTTTCAGACTTGGGTTGAAGTCAAACCTGTTCTGATCCCGTCATTGGTCCCACTGCCACTCCCTCCACTGTGTTCACTGATGTTTCTGAGGCCTGTGAGTAAATGGTTAATAATTTATTACTGTGCTGGTTTTGAACTATAAATTCTGTAGCTAGTCAGTGTCCACATTTTTTCATGCTCCTTTTTTTTTCTCTTTTGAAAATAAGTGAATGAACTCAACCCTTCCTCCTTCCTTCCTCTTGTTAATTTTTCCAAAGTCCCACCTTAAGCACACAATATAAAAATGGGCATTTGCCGAGTTAGCTAGATAAAAGAAAATCCCAAGTTTGGACAAGCAGTACAGCGGAACCATTTATCAATAACATGGAGTGGAAATAAATAAAGGTTAAGAAACAGAAAATCTGCACAAATAAAATAAATTTTCTGAAAAACTCTGTGTTGCTCAGTAACATTTTCTCTGCTTCTCTTCCCATTCAGATTTATTTCATATCCGAGCAAATTTCAGGATCTTGAAAAAAAATTCATATTTAAATCAACAATTTAGATTATTAGATTGATTTTTTTAAAGAATGTCTGCTGTGTTCTCTTGACCAGACAGTCACTGGTGTTTTAAGTGCATGTTAGATCCCCTCAGAGATGTTTCCTCAGGAACTTGAGAGTTGACATTCTCTTTACGTTTTCTCCGTTTACTCATAGAAGCTGATATTTTCCTTTTTTTTTCTCCTGAAATGCACAACGATTTCTTTAATCTTCTGAAGTCTTCAAATGGTTTCCCACACACCAGTCTGCTAAAAAGTGGACCTCGTTCCAGTTTGCAGTCCTATCCACAGCGCTAATTGGTTCAATCACTGAAGTGCAATCTGTACATTTAACATTAGTCGTTAGGGTTAGGATTAGGTAAACAATTTTATGTTTACAGGGAATACAGAAACGGGCTCAGGACACAGCCCTGTGGGGCTCCCATAAGAGACAGAGGTGTGGGCCTGTTTTCACAACCTGTGGTCAGTTAAGTCAGAAATTTCTGTGTCTAGCTGCAGATGTTAAGGTGACCACAACCAACCATAGCGTCTTATGGAACACTCTAGGTGGCAAAACAATGAAAATAATGTAATCTATAAAAAGCATCCTCACATAATCAAGGGCGCCCCCAAGGGGTGGCCAGGAGTGGACATGGCCACCCTTAGAAAATTGCTGGCGCCGCCAGGAAAAGCCAGTGTTAACAAATTATATTAATGTTCAGTCAAACCATATATTGATCTTGTATATTCAAGACATAATTGTAAAACAAAATAAAAATTATACAATTAACGAGTAAAGAAATAATCAGAATAAAAAAGTCACGTTTCTGCTACTCACTATTTAAAAAAAAGTTTTTATCTCCATAGTTTTTTTTTGTGAACACAGCAACAGTTGAATAAACAAAAAAAATTTTTTAAATAAAATTTGGGATAAATGTTTTGGATACGTACGTTACTTTAATAAAAATGAACAAAGGTGCAATTCAGTACATTGCCACAGGCTAAATTCTCCCAGAGTTACCACAAGGACCAATTTGGTGTGCTACCCCAAAAATTTCTTTGGCCCCATCTGGCCACCCCTATTGAATTTTCTGGAGGCGCCCCTGCACATAATCCTGAGTTATCCAGATGGACCAGCACACTGTGAAGGGCCGTGGACATGATGTCACCTGTTGATCTATTTGATCACTTGTGGGGATCCAGAGTATGGGGGAACACATGTTTACCAGCCTCTCCAGGAACTTTATCACAATGGGTATCTATGCACTGGGCCAGCAGTAATTTACTGCTGTCTGTTTGGGTACATTTCTTATTAAATAGATGCCTTCTTTTTTAGTTGCTTGACTTTTTTCTCACATCATGGCTGAAATTTGGTTTGCTTCATAATATGTGATGATTTAACATGTGTGGCAATGTGGAGAAACGAGGGCCCAGGCTGGATTTGATCCCCGGACTCCCGGGTGAGAGTCACGCACGCTAACCAGTCAGCCAAAGGGACATCTCTTGCCTCACATGGAACACCTCATGTTGATTGTGTACAAGGCAGCTCGTCAGCATTGTTTCATATTGTTGAAATTGGTCTGCCACACGTTTCGAAGAAGACTAAAAGCCTAGGAGACAAGTGTTTTTTCCTTTTCTGCCTCTTTCCACAGTCTTTTCAGCTACTTTCATGCTATACCTGCCCCGTCTAAACGTTTATGTATTAAAAACTAGAGAGACACTTCGAGGAGAGACTGTTTGCCCCACTAGCAGGAACACTGCCCTCTTAGAGGTTATATCAACATTGACTCACATAACCAAAATCCAAGCTAATCATTAACATTGACTACCGTCTACTGAAACGGCTGCTCTCGACCCTCGTTACAGTTTTCAGCTACCGGTAAATTAAAATGATTAGTAAAATTTAAATAGATTGTAAACCATGAATGCAGCAAATCTCTTCTCCTATCTTCCCAATGAGCTAATATTTACCTGTTAATACATCATTACTTTAGTGCTCCTGCACACTGAGATGCACACATATTTGTTGTTCATTCTGATCTCTAATCTGATTTTGTGTCTCGTTGTGTGGCGTCTCTTGGTAGCTGCGAGGGTTCACACAGAGGAGGCCAAGTTTTCTGATAAAGGCTCAGTGTGAAGGACAGCTGCGACATTCACGTGGTGTCGGACAAAAGAACACCAAGCGAAGGCCGCAGCAAGCAAAACAACTTGTGAAAATCCTAAATACGTGATTTTGAATATTTTATTGTTTTGATAACTCTTTTGTGTTATGTGTGGCATTTAAATACAAACGATACTACTTCAAAAACCTACTTGTTAACTCGACTCTGTTGCGTTTATGCACGTAATGCAGAGGTTTCCGAGACGTCCTTGAACACAGCGGCGCTTGCCAGGGAGTGGCCGCTGCACCTGTCCGACCTGTTCGGGGGACACATGACTCCGGAGGAATTTCTCTCCCCTTCTTGCTCCTGTCTTTTGTTTAGCGGCTTGTTTCTGAGGGAGGCGAGCGGGTGAGAGCCAGAGGCGGGGGGAGACAGGCAGAAGGAAGAGAGAGATGTCGGAACCAGCCGCTAATCCCGCCGCCACCTCCTTCCCAGCGCCCACCATATCTTTACCTTTGGGACTGGAGGTGCTGAGGACCTACTCAGGAGCACTCGTCTGCTTAGAAATAGTAAGTGTCCTTTTACATGAGGTTATTTGTTCTCACATAGCCTTCTGATCACAATTCACTTACTATCCTAATTAACGCATATTACCTTTTTTGTAGACTAACACGTGTTTCTGCTTTGATGCATTAATTGCGTTGATCGGTGCTGCCGTGATTGCTCTTTGTTTCAACTTTTAGACGTGTCTGCAGGGATCAGCACGTGTTTTGTATTAATAATGGTCACAGTCCGCAAAACACATGAAATGATTACCTATTTTTTTTATATTAATGAGGACATCTCATACATGTTGTTTTTGCCCCTCAAGGTGACCTCTGTCTCCACACAACCTCTAATCTTCTGATAATTTTGTTATCAGATGAGAGCCTTTACAGGCCCTCGGGTGGAAACTTTGGCACTAAAGGCAGATCTGATCTGTTATCAACAAGGCCTACAAGGTTTTAAAGCCAGTTGTTGGGCACTGTGTCATTAGGGACAGCACACAGCCTCAAATTGGGTTTATTGATCACACTGTGGTTTGACTTTATGTGATGTGATTTGTGCAGAAGCAGATCTCTAATATTTCAAAATATAATTTATGTGATCTGTTTGTTTTTATTGAAGAAAATGTGTTCTGTAATTCATATTCAAAGGCATTAACAGAAATACGTTTTTATTTTCACAACAGCCAAAAGTGACTCAAACAAAATAACTAAGAAATCCAACTGCTTTTTTAACACTGCCACCCACAGGTGTTTCCCCCGAGCCCAGGGGTCTGTAACCTTTGTGACTGAAACAAAATACACATTCAAAATCTAATTAATGCAGCCACTAAATTCGTACCCTTAAGCCTGATTCATGCTTCTCCATCAGCTCCAAAAGGGAGAGACACGCACGGATGGAGACACTTTGCTCTCATACTTCTCCGTCTCCTGGGGAGTGTTGCGAAGCAATTCCCCACCAGGACAACAGAGGGCGTAGCGCTGTTCTGTGGTATCCTGTCATGTATCGGTCCAAGATAGTGTGTTTATATTGTGTATTTTTGTATATAAGAGACTTTTTTAACACGGACAAATTGGTCTCTCATCCTCCTCCACCTCTTCATGCGCTCGCCACCTCTAAACCCACATTCCCTGTCATTTCCATCCACAAATAAAACGCCTGCTGTGCATCTTTTCACTCCTCCATTCACGGGGAATAAAACGTTCATATTTTAGAGGTTTTTCGAGAGGTATCCTTCAAGCTTCTCCGTGTCTGCCGCTAGTTATTCTCGGCTCTCTATGTTTTTGAGGGCGCAATGGCGGCGGTGTAGACGACAGCGGTGCCCTGACTAATCACAAGCTTGCGTTCTCCATCTTGACGGACGGATGTTTAGAAAAGAGAGCTCGACTCCATACGTCCTTGCGGGGCTCTCCAGCAGGCCTGCAAGGACGGATAATGGCGTTGTGTGTCTCCGCACTGACGCAGACGCAGAAGCATGAATCAGGCTTTAGAATGAAGAAAACAGACATCTTCATATATGGCTGCTTATAATGAGCCAGGATTCCTGTTAAAAGGGAGTTTTCCTCTCCACTGTCGCTACATGCTTGCTTATTGTAAGGATTGCTGGAAAGACTGACACTAGTCAGTGACTCTATGCAATTTGCTGGGTTCTTTATTACTTTTTACTGAATGGCTTAATGAACTGATCTGTACTGGATTGTTTACTTTGTGAAGTGCCTTGACACGACTCTTATCATGGTTTGGCGCCTTATAAATTAAACTTCTGCTGCAGGCAGGTCCCTTAATTAAACATATGAAATATGAGGACATTTGTGTTTAGATGAACTTTGTTTGGTGTCATTTATTGGACTGGATGATTGAAGAAACAAGAAGTCATATTGGTAATGAGTCCATAGGGTCTAATCTGCAGCACCAATAGAGAATCACCTTTTGGCGGAGTCAGTGTTATGGGCTCGACACACGGGAGGCGACATCGCCTCTCCATTCATTTTCAATGAGACATGCGCGACAAAGCGATAATCGCGGGTCTCCCTTCTACCAAGCGAAAGGCGAAAAACGTGCGTGGGACGTGTCGTGCACAGGCGACCCAGCGACGCAATCCCAGAAAGTTGAACATTTTCAACTTTTCATCGCTGTCACTCGGACGAGGACCAATCAACAGAGGTTTCATTCACTGACCAATGAGCAGACAGGATGCTCCACACATCTCCGAGCAAACATGGAGAAGTTGATTATTATTATGTTTTATATAGTAAAATCAGAAGTAAGATTTCACATAACTCTAGCAGCACCTTGTGAAACATCATATCTACCACTTTATTAACTCTGAACCGCTTAAATAACCTTAATTCCCTCCAACCGGACACAGCCAAGCAAAACAACGGAAGTTTCGATGTCGCCATGTAACAGAACGTGTAGACGGCTTTGCCGCTGGCCGCTGCCACGGATCGTCTCCCGTGTGTCAGGTAATAAAAGCGACAGCGACAAATTTCGCTGATTGTGGTCGTTTGCCGCCTCCCGTGTGTCGAGCCCATTATGGTGTGTGTGGGGGGTATCTTCCTCACTGAAAAAACAAGTCTCGTCACCACTAGAGGCAATATCAATGAAAAAAGAATTCAGGACTAGATTTCCTTACTAATGTAGCTCTGTTTACGGGGAAATTAACAAGCAATTCAAGGTGCGTTGCCTAAGAGTATCGCACAGCAAAGTATCAACCAGGGTTAGGATTTTCTAATTTTGCCAAATACATTGGGATAGAAAAATACAAAACAGATGACTCAAGTGGTCTGTCATTAAGACAAAAAGCACCAATCCAGTTCAGTCAGGAAGCCAAACTACTTCTGTTATTAACACCAAACATTGTATGGAGACTCGAGTGAAAACAAATGTTTGGAAAAGCTGCTAAAACTACCCTTCCCTGTTGGGACTATAAACATTACTCAGGCTCACGTTATTTTCAGAGTTCCAAGAATTTGCTTCAGAGCCGCATGTGGTTCCAGATCTGCAGGATGGGGACCTCTGTCCTACCATGCTGCATCTCTTCTTCTGTTTTGTTTATATTTGCACACTTTTAATCTTAAGTTCTGCTGATGGCCTCCCCCAGCTGAACTCTTTATCTTTTCCACCATAACAAGCCATTACCTCTATCAACTATCATATTACCTTCAAATTTGCATTTCAAATAAACTTGCCTTATCTTTCAGCTCTCATTTTCAGAAGTTGCAACACTCACATAACCTCTGCAAATACTGTAATTCATCTGGATGCTTTTGTCAGCATGTAATTGTACCTCACATTTAAAGGTCTCGTTCACTGAGAAACCGGATAATATATGTTGTTTTTGAAATATGATCAGTCAATTTGAGGCAGGCTTATTGTAAAAATAGTCTTCTACCCTGTCCCTTGCATTAGCCAGCCAAAGGAAGTAGATGGGGAAATGATCGGGTTCTATGTGACAAAAATAAGCATAAAACATTTTAAATAAAGCATGCACTCGTCCACCTTGGCTTGTGACTGTGAAGGCTGTGTTGAGTTTGCATCCAGGAAAGAGCAGAACGTGTCTCAGCCAGTTTTAAAGAGGTCCTTCACTCATATGTTTAATACACTTGCAGGGGTCTCTAGTAAGTTTTACTCTGGAGAAAGAAAGTTCCGGTGCACCAGTTTCAGCACGTAGAATTTAGCTGAAGCAGAAAATGGCTTCAGACGACAGGAATCTTATTTCCTGATATTTGGACATCTCTCCTCTGATTGGATAAAATCACCATGACTACATCGTCTGCATTGCACAAGTTCTGCTGTGTGATAGAGTTGCTAATGCTAATGGTTAGCTTCTACTAGTTGAGACGTTCTCTGCTGATTCTTGGACACGTCATTTGGAATCCTAGGATGTCCAAGGAAGGTCCCTACTTTCTTGCCTCTGATTGGATGATAGGGCTCTCCTACGATTGGCAGTTTCATGTAAGAGGAACCTGTTTTCACCCGCTGCAGGTTTTTTTGTTTACAGCCAGATCTTGAGGACTTTTCTGAAGAAAATGTGAAGAAATTTGTTTTCAAGCTGATTATGATTTAGACATATTTTTCACCAGTTTTCATTATTCTAGAAAAAAGTCATACCCAGGTAAGGCACATACAGTTCCTTCTAAAAAAATTAGCATATTGTGACAAAGTTCATTATTGTCTGTAATGTACTGGTAAACATTAGACTTTCATATATATTAGATTCGTTACACACAACTGAAGTAGTTCAAGCCTTTTATTGTTTCTAATATTGATGTTAATCTGGCATACAGCTCATGAAAACCCAAAATTCCTATCTAAAAAAATTTGCATATTTCATCCGACCAATAAAATAAAAGTGTTTTTAATACAAAAAAATGTCGACCTTCAAATAATTATGTTCAGTTATGCACTCAATACTTGGTCGGGAATTCTTTGGCAGAAATGACTGCTTCAATGCGGCGTGGCATGGAGGCAATCAGCCTGTGGCACTGCTGAGGTGTTATGGAGGCCCAGGATGCTTCGATAGCGGCTTTAAGCTCATTCAGAGTGTTGGGTCTTGCGTCTCTCAACTTTCTCTTCACAATATCCCACAGATTCTGTACGGGGTTCAGGTCAGGAGAGTTGGCAGGCCAGTTGAGCACAGTAATACCATGGTCAGTAAACCATTCAGCAGTGGTTTTGGCACTGTGAGCAGGTGCAAGGTCGTGCTGAAAAATGAAATCTTCATCTCCATAAAGCTTTTAAGCAGATGGAAGCATCTCCTGATAGCTAGCTGCACTGACCCTGCCCTTGATAAAACACAGTGGACCAACACCAGCAGCTGACATGGCACCCCAGACCATCACTGACTGTGGGTACTTGACACTGGACTTCAGGCATTTTGACATTTCCCTCTGCCCAGTCTTCCTCCAGACTCTGGCACCTTGATTTCTGAATGACATGCAAAATTTGCTTTCATCCGAAAAAAGTACTTTGGACCACTGAGCAACAGTCCAGTGCTGCTTCTCTGTAGCCCAGGTCAGGC